GGGGAGATAGTTCTTGTCTTGGGGAGAAGCAACCTGTCACTGAACAGACTCTTCTGGTTGTTAATGGCCGTGTGCAGAGGATGCCCAGCATTCTTCATAATGTCCAGCAGTTTTTTTAGTGTCCTTTTCTCTGCCACTGTCACCAGAGTGTCCAGCTTCATGCCGACCACAGAGTTAGCCTTCCTGATCAGTATCGATACTAAAATAACAGAAAAACACCCCCATTATATCCCACAGTACTTCTCCTTTTTCTTACACAAACAACATTGACATTACCTATGCTGAGTATTCCAGTCTTTAGTGTTTACTGTTGCACCGCAAGACCTGTAAATTTCACATTGCCATCTAGTCAAACTAGCTTTACTGTCACATGAAAGTACATCAGGGGAACAGCTGATGCCTGACTCAAAAAAAAGCTGTTGGCTATAATGAAAACTGGTTATGCTGGAAATTACCTTTATTTACCTAAATGTTTTGAGAGAGAAATATCTGCTTATTTGTACTGCTATTCTTGGTGCATGCACATACTACATACTGCTACTCAAGGACCAAAATCCACAAATGATCTAAAACAACAAGAAAAGGTAAATGACATATATTCAGACTTTGGTTTTGTTGTTTGGGTTTTTTCTGTCGGTAAAGCATGGAGCTGTGTGGATGTATCAGAACAGTTGGTTGAGCTTTTATTCTGCTGTTCAACCTTGCTCAGTGGTTCCGCCTCCTTATCGTACCTCATCGTAACACTATATTGTCCTCTATGACACCAGTTACCTGAAAAGAAGAACATCGCACCTTTCATAGTGTGCAAACTTTTCAACAATTATATTCAAATTGTTCAAGTTTTTCAAGAACGGCTTTCCGTCACTCGCTCATCACTTTTTCTTATTGTGGCTCCATAAACAGCAGGAAGAAGAGGTAGGAAATGAGCTATTTTTTCTATACTTTTGTCATACTACAACAATAAAAACCCAATATCTTTGCAATTACATAAATAAGTTGTTAGATTTGTATTGTTGATTGTCATTTATGCTTAGAAATATTTACTTATATATGCTTAGAGTTTTGTAATTAGTTGTAGATTGGTAGAGGTTTTGATCCTTGATAGTCTGCAAACTTTGTGTGTATTAGACAGCACTTTGGGAGCATGAGAGGTCATACCGTGTCTTATTGTTTTATGGTAGGATTAACGTAGTTGCGTCTGTTCTAGTCTAAGTGCTCTTTGTTTAGATGAACTGCAGGACTTCCTCACCGTGTTATCTAGGATGAACCATCTAGGGTGAGGGGGAGGCTACCCTCTTCCTGACCAAGGATGTTTGACCCTTTGATCAGCAGTCCACACACACACACACACACACACACACACACACACACACACACACACACACACACACACACACACAGGCAAGGTACTCTTTGTGTTTATGTAAGACGTCATATGTTAATGAACCTATGCATATTCATGTAACCTCAATAAAAGGACAGTGTACGGGAGGACGGACGAGAGCAACTGGGGTCAAGCGAAGGAACGGCGCCTGTCCGGTTCTCTCCCGTGCACGAGAAACATGAAGAAGCTTGCCTACTTGTGTCTTGCTTTGCAGTGTAATTATATTGCCTTCAACGTTCCAGCGGATGGGTTCAAGTTACAAACCTATCATAAGTTATGTAATTTAAATTTTCCGATACTTTCTGATTCTGGCACTGTAGGTATTCATTAGGTTTTTTTTAATCATGCACCTGTCAAGGAAGTTTGTCTTTGAAGTAAATAGTCCTTTACCACAAAAAGGGAAAGAAGCCCATACTTTTATATTTATACACTTTATTAAGTACACCTGCTGGACAGCTATTTAACCCATGTGTTCAGGCTTTTCGGCACATAAACATGGTCAAAACAAGCTTCAGAAAATGCTGATTGACCAACTCTACACATAAAACGTTGTATCACTGAGGCAAGCAAGAGGTAGTGGCTCTCCCCTGAGGTTTCACATTAAAACTAAATTTCTGGATCGTTATGTCATATGAATAATCTTACTCCAGGTAACTGTACTCTGTCTTCAAATATGCAGCCAATGAAAGTCTTCTTTTTTTTTACCTTAATATCATGGTGTGCTTTAAATGTTTTGGGTCAAAGCACACATTTTTTTTCTGAGCACAGAAAAAAGTAAAACTGTAAATAGTTTTTGTTGTGTGTAAATTATTTTGATCATTATTGTTTCCCTCATCTGTGGAGACTTGGAGTATTTTATATATTTCTTAGAGTATTTTTAAAAAGATGTCAGAGGGTTAAAGCCTGTGGGTCTCATATGTTTTCTTATGAGTGCATACAGAAACGTATTAACAAGAACAAAAAAAGGTACACCTCTTTAGCAAATACTTGTTTTTTCAGTCACTGAAGATATAGGATTACATTGTAATCTCCTATTTAAAACTGCCTTACAGGTGTGTGTGTGTGTGTGTGTGTGTGTGTGTGTGTGTGCGTGTGTGTGTGTGCGCGCGCGTGTGTGTCCGTGTGTGTGTGTGCGAGGTGTGTGTGTGTGTGTGTGTGTGTGTGTGCACGCGTGTGTCCTCTAACCACATATAAGAGGTTGAAAAACCAACCAGTTTCCCTCGTAAAAAGCATAATAAAATTAAGAACTCTTAAACAGGTCTGGGTTGAGCGTCGTGTAAAACTTGGTAAGACTGGCACATACCTAACTTGCAGTGAGACTACCTGTGCCAAGGTGACTCATGCAAAATAAATGATACATTGATGACACTGCTGTGAATACTCATACTCACAAATGCTTTAAACAAGTTTTTAAGCTCTACTGTTTGCTGTTTGTAGTGAAGCAAACTATTTAAATAATGGGCGTACTCAGGAAGCGACGATAGATGATATCCAAATATCCAGATATCCGTCAAGATTCTATGAATTTGCTTTTATGGCTGCACTTGTGCTTGGGCTTAAAAGGGAGAATGGCATTGCTGGAGACACGAAGTGAATAAACATTATTAATCTGCAAAGACTTGTAATTTATTAAAATTAGGAATGATGTTAGGAATATATTGTCTTTGTCAATGTGCTCCCCTTCCAAGCTGATCAAGCTTATCACTATGGTTTTGATAGACCATAAGGACTGTAGAGTGAAAGCAGGGCCTGTTGATTGAACTTTGTGTTAAGTTTTGGTGTATTGTTTAACAGTTTATCTGTTTTTAAGCAATGTTTGTACCAATATTAAGATGTGAAAGCAGTATTATATTTACATAACAGTTAAATAATAATAAAAAAACATTAATGTTACTAAAATCAATGGTAAATTAAGTATTCTGATCTCAATATTTTTCCAAAATAATCATTTTGATCCTACTTGTGCAGACCTAGTTTGCAATGATAAAAACAACATTATTTTAGTTCACATTATTGCAGTTATTTATTTTCAAACAGACAAAGCAAAAATGAATTGCGCCTTAAAATTGCAGTTTGTCTGAACACAGGCAGATGGCGCTAATTCTGACATACTGCCTGGACTAATGGACTAATCTCTTCCAATCCCATGAGCCCCTTGGCAGCCAAAAGGACTTATAGTATTGCAAGATACAGGCAATAAACTGTCAAAATGTGTTTTCCAGTGTTTCTGGGGTTTTTTCATGTGTAATATATCTGTTTATATTGGTAAACCGATTGTAGATAATAGACTTTACAAAAGGCTTATATATAAAATAAAGAAATAACTTGTGTCGCAAGTATCTTTATGATTCCATGATATTGTGTCTAAATTTTATTCAATTGGGTCTTTTCTGCCCACTATCGTTATGCTACTGCTATATTATTCTTCAATTTCTGCTGGCCCCTTGGTCAGCTCACTCTTCAAAAACACATTTCTAATGTAAATGAGACTGTTCACCCGAATAAATAAACGACATCTAAATGTTGACAAGTCATTTACAACAGCTTAAATATTTCTGGCAAGTACTGGAAATTACTTTTTGGCAATAACACAGAGAGCTTCAACTGAGAGACATGAAAGGCAGGATGAACTTTTTACAGAAGCAAAGGGAAAAAAAAGAAAGTATTTGTTCATTTTATACATGTTCAATCATATCTAAGATGTGAGTCAAGACATAACGTGTTTTATATGACTGATTTGCAAAATGTAACTATTTAGATGGTAAAGATTTTGCCTTTGTTAATTAATCTACTATAATTTGTGTTTGTGTGTATCAACAGATGTCTGTCTGTACAAGCTCAAAGCTTTTTGTGATTGCTGTTGTCGGCGTGCTGATCATTATGTTTGCATTCTATTTCGGGAATTTGTGTAATGGGACAAGTGCGCTAGCCTACAAAAAACAAAGGTAAAGTATTCCTGTATCCTTGTGGTGTGTGTGTGTGTGTGTGTGTGTGTACATAAAAATATGATATGTACGGTACACATTTTTCTTTTCATGGCAAATAGACTGAAGCAACTGAGTGAGAAGGATAAACTGATGTAGCTAAAACAGTGCTGTGCTGAAAAATGACCAGTGCATAAGATTTGTAAAACCCTGATAGTCTGCATGTCAATTATGTATTGATTATTTGATAGTGGGGTCAGCACGGTGGCACAGTGGTTAGTGCGGTTTCCTCACAGCAAGAGGGTCCGGAGTTCAATTCCACCATCAGGCCGGGGTCTTTCTGTGTGGAGTTTGCATGTTCTCCCCTTGTTTGTGTTGGTTCTCCCTGGGTGAATGCCTATGGTTTCCTCCCACAGTCCAAAGACCTGCAGTTTGTGGGGATAGGTTAACTGAACAATCGAAATTGTCCATAGTTGTGAATGTAAGTGCGAAAGTTGTCTGTCCTTGTGTGTTAGCCCTGTCACAGACTGGCGACCTGTCCAGGGTGTACTCCGCCTCTTGCCCTATGACAGCTGGGATTGGCTCCAGTGCCGCCCGCGACCCTGAAAAGGAGAAGCGGAAGCAAATGGACGGATGTATTTTTTGATAGTGTCTTTGTCACGATCATTGTAGAGAGAACTGCATATATGTTTAGAAATGTTCTGGGAGATTCGTGAATGATCTCTAATTCATTTTATTCAACATTTGTACACTTACTGTTTCCGGTCAATAATGACCAATCACTAGAAATGAATGGTGGAGACAACAATTACTGTAAATAACTGAGTTCAGATGGCTGTAAACACACACACGCACAATGGGTTCCACAACACACAAATAGAACAATTACTGTAAATAACTGAGTTCAGATGGCTGTAAACACACACACGCACAATGGGTTCCCTAGCAACTACTCTGGAAATGTTTGCTCAATAGAGCCTCACTTCCAAGAGAACAACTCCTCTGTTGGCAGTATCATTGTATCATTGAACATTTCTCGTAGATTTGGTGTACAATGCTTTTTTGAGGCCTTGCTCACAGGTCACTGGGTGTCAGCACCATGACACGGCGATATATAACCTAAGTGAGGCTCTTTACTACTTATTTGATCACTACACTGGTGAGGAGGAGAGAGGCCAGGAAAACTTTTTGCCATGGGCGTACCGGTACGCCTAACTTTAAAAAGTTAGGCGTACCGGCACAAAAGTTAGGCGCACACAAATTTTATAATAATTTATATAATATAATGTGTTTTTCTGGATACACTGTGCTTTTTCAGCATTCAAAGATTGATGACACCGTGTCAGAGCACTGGCTATGAATTTCAGAAGGATCAGGCCTTAACTTAACAGAAAAGTTAGCAATAGTTCTTTTCCTATTACAGCTACATCCACTTCTGTCGTGCCTAGGCTGCTCACTAGGGCTGGGTATCATCACTGATTTCTATAATCCATTCGATTCGATTCGATTCAACTTAGCCTCAGACAGTCAGAAATATTATAATTCTGATCATTTATCAGTACTGACTTCATCAGAATTGTGAACATCACAGCAGATGCCTTTGTGTGAAAGTAACTGAGAATAAAACACAGAAAAACATGAAGGAGATTTTCCTGGTCTGGCTTTTTATAGCAGATAACCTTAAAAATATTCTACAATGTTCTGCATATAAAGTTTAAATTTCTTCAGTATTGAACAACAGAAAAAATAGGCTTTCTTGTCCGAGGTCATTTAAGTGAAAAAAAGAAAAGAAAAAGACAGCAGCCACAGCGCTGTAAACAACGGTAGACTGGTGGGTAATAAGCGAATGAATAATACAGAAAACAGAGATTGGAGACGGGAAACTGTTCTTGAAGTACAGAGAGAGATAAAGAGAGAGCTCGCTGTGCATGAAGTGTGAAACAAAACCTGCAGCTCAGAATCAGCGCAAAAAGACGTAATCACAGCGCGGGCCGGACGCATCAGAACCGCTAAGCTCCGACAGCGTGTCCGTCTACGGGCCGTCGGGTGAGAAAGCCGAGAAAGACAAAGCTGATTCTGATGCGTCGGTCCGTCTGTGTTTACGTCTTTGTGTGGAATCCGTGTACCTGCTCTCATTTGCTGTTTGGTTGTTGTTGAAATGGTTTTGTGAGCTTTAATCTGAGAATCTGGCGTTTCTGGCAAAACACAGTTATATTTAAAAGTCGATTCAGGATTTAATGAATTGATATCGCTTTATTCAAGCTACTCACCTCCCACTTCCACCTGCACTTTCAACTGGACCACGGCCAATCAGAGAGGTCCCGCCCCTTACTATCTCTGATTGGTTTAGTCCACGATAGGGGCAAAATGTGTGTCTGTTGTTGACCACAGGGAAGGTTGCAGATTTTTTTTTTGCTACCCGAACAGTTGGTCGCACAGGTGCAACCAAATATTTTGTCGCACCAGAGCTGATGATAGAGGAGAAATTGTCTGCATCTGAAGGGAATATAATCCATGCAATTAGACCAAGAAATGACTGATGAGAAGGAATCTAATGATGAAGGATGGCCATGCTGAGGCTGCCATAAGGATCACATTACATAAGGATATACTTTCTTTTATACTTGACTGTAGTAGTTCATTTAAATGTTGATGTTGAATTGTGACTCTTCAGGACTTCCATATTACAGGCACTCTTCAGGTTCTCTAATTTATAAGTCATCTTTGCCCCCACAACACCGTTTACCTGGTCCATGTACTTGTCCTGATGGCTCAACAATCCTCAAAGACCGCATCCCAGAAGACCAGTATGAGGAATTAATGCAGCGACGAGCTAAAGAGTTCCAGCAATACAAAGCCAGGTAGAAGATGGATGTATGAGTGGGAGCTTTCCGGGAACTGTTAGACTTACAGTTCAGTAATAAAATAATTTAAAGTGTGTGTGTGTGTTACTGAGTACTCAAAATTCTTGTGTAATTTTTCCCAATTCCATCTCCTCAACAGGACTAATTCAATACAATCCAAGCTACTTTTTGCTTTGCCTAATTCTCCTCTGCAGTATCCTATCCAGGGCGTTATAGTACGACCCTTGACTGCAACTGCAATACCAGGTAATTCAAGCTCAATATATGCTTCAGTCACCAATGTTTTAGTTTTTATGTTCCTATAAAAAATATAAATGCAAATAGAATAGGAAGGCAACAAGGCCATGGTTCACAGTTATTTATGAAGATACTGTTAACATGAAAGTGATCATAGTACTTTTTATAAAATTATGCTGTCAGTAGTCAGATCGAATTGGTCCCAATCATGTCATTGGGACAAAAAAACAGCACAAAAAGCTTAATATTTTCAAAAGTAATGACACCAAAAGATATAGCAGGTAAGAACAGAAATGGCAGAATTTTTAAAATTTGAATGGTGAAAATAGCCTGAGAACTGTGGGAGTAGTCAAAGGACAAAGAACGGAGCAACTAGAATAATAAGAAGATTAAAAATATAGGGAAACAGGAACACAATAGGTTGAATGCCTATGGCATTCACCCACTGAGAAACCTGAGTGAAAGATAGCTGAGGTGTCCTCAAGAACTCACCTGGCAACACTTGTGTAATTTCAAAATATGATGTGAATATGTGTATTTCAGTAGAAGGACTAAGTGACACTGAAGGTAATTTTTGAATTTCAGGTTTAGGTCTGCATGCGGAAGAAGGAAACAGCTATAAGGTTGGTCTGATATCACAGATTAGAAACAGGCAGATCTCACCCAGATCTGCCTGACTGAATGGTAGAGGTTGGCTGATTTATGAAAGATGGCTGCTGAATGTTTCTAAAGTTCAAAGATATGTGTGTTTAATTTGTATACTGTATACTAACTATCAAAAAAAGCATTATTGCATTCATGTGTGGCAAACAAGGCTTGATATACAATCTACATAGTCAGTACTGGCTTTCATAACACATTGTTATTCAGTTTCAGTCAGTTTATTTTAGTAGACCCTATATTTCACCAGGTAACACTAGTATTGGCTAGTGATATATGTAAATCTGTGCAAGTTATTCATGTACAGTAATTTAAAACTGACATGAAAATTTGCATTATTAACCAACCAACCAAGTATAATAAAGTTTAAGTTATTGTGTGTTACATACCTAGTAGAGTCAACAGATTCCCTGAATGTGAATTCAATAAGGAGAGATAATTAGATTTGATTTATTGATGAAAAGAATATAGGTCGGTGTTTTGCGGTTAGACTACGATGGCCTTTCTCAGCAGAAAGGAACCCCAGCTGTGAAAGGGATTAGAGCAGGAACCCCAAAATAACAAACAGTTCTTCTGGCTGGGGAAAAGAATATGCACGTTAGGAGTAATGCATGTCGCTGGCAGGGCATAGCAAGCATAAGTACAGAGAAGGGTGAGAAACTAGGAAAGCTCTGGTAGGAACCCGACCAGGGTTAAAGGAGAGCCTTTTAGCCAGAGGAACAGACCGCCCATCAGAATGGGTGCTGGCACTGGCGCCGGCCCTCCAATGGCCACGACAGACCAGTACAGTGTCTACCTCACTGCAGCCACAGCACCAATCACTCTGTCGATCTCCTGCTCCCTTCTCCCTAATTCGTGAACAAGACCTCAAGATATTTCAATTTCTCCACTTGGGGCAGGAACTCTTCCCTGACCCAGAGTGGGCACTCCACCCTTTTTTCAGCTGACCGAACCACGTAACCATGGCATAGTTGTCAACTATGTATTCATAGTTGTCCTGCTGGTTTGTCAAAACCAGAAGCAATCACCAGATTTGTGATACGAGATGTATGACATGAGCAACAGAGTTGTTATAGCTGTTAGTTCTTGAGACTAGACAGAATAAATAATAAAGAAGCATACTTGCATCTCCCACTAGTTTGCACTTTAACAAGACAGATGACACACCTTTGGGCTGTGTAATGTATCTGATATGCACTGAATCTTAAATAAAACTATATGAATGATGTAAAATATGTATTTGCATCAGGTTCTCTACAA